CCAACTTTACACCAGGAAAGCCACTGCCATCACACAGGACCCCACCCACCCCCTGCACCCATCCTTCCAACTACTACCATCAGGTCGCCGTTACAAAGTCCCACTTTCCCGGAAGAACACATACAAAAAAAATGTTTGTTCCCACTGCCATCACCATTCTGAACAGTTTAAAATAACAACTGAAGTCCCACCCAGATACACTGCTTTGTCGTATATCTTGTATAATGTCTATTGTGTTTTGTGTGTTCTTGTGTATTTTATTTCGGAGCTTGCCAAAGACAAGTTTCTGTTACTTGTGACAGACTATAAAGGTTTATCTTATCTTATCTTATCTTATCTTATCTTATCTTATCTGAGGCGAGTACTGGCCACGTTGTTTTGTAAAAAGCAAGGTGGAGTTGATTACCCTGTCTGGTATTATATGAATTAAATTTAAATTAAAGAATTTTAAAAAATGCTAAACAATGATGGTAAAGAATAGGGTAAGAACATTTATTTATATATAAACACACATATCTGATGAATATTTCTATCATATACTGAGAAAAAGGTTTAGTTTTCCAAACAGTGGAACAGAGGCCTGATAAACATTGAAGGAAGTTGCCAATCTTACAAATCGTTTTTGTAGCAAATAATGTTTATGCAGATTTGAGGGGTATATATTTGCCCAAACAATATTACTATTAATCAAATAGGGATACATAGTGGAATAACATAAAGTTAATAATAAAGTAGGTTATAAAACCCTCCAATACCAAGCCTGCACTGATGCCAGCTTACTGACCATGTGCAACGCAGAACTGTGATTGTCATGGAAGAAACTTTGAACACGTAAAGTTCTGCAAGACTATCCTTAGGAATGTAATGTAGTGTAATGTGGTAATATTGTCATACAGATGATGACATCTGAAATGCTATATTGTACATAGGATCAAATCTACACCTCTCTAATCTCTATAAAACAGTAGTCCTGTTTATAGTTAACTGTAACAGGAACTGTTTAAAAAACTACAGCTAAACATCAGAGTGAAAATGAGATGTTTACAAAAGTAAAAGGCCAGAAATGTCACCAGTGAATCTCAGAGATATGTTTTATACCTATTTATGTATTATTCAGTCATTTATTTGTTTCGTTAAGCCTGTTTATTTACTTACGATTTATTTATTTATTTCAATGGCAAAAGGATAATACATTCTTCTAAAATTCTTATAAACAGCACAAATCAAAAAAAGCATAATACATATAAAGAACATAAAATGGGAGTATTTTACTTTTCTCCATGGTAACCAAATATAATAACAGCTCCTTTTTCTGCGGCAGAGAGGGAAGTGTGTGATTCCACCCTACACATTGATGTAGGGAGTTTCAGCTGTGATGGTAACAACAAACAGAGTGACACTCCGAGACTGAGCCGGGAGAGGGTAGGATCCGGTTTTGGAAAGCCCATAATCTGAGCCTGTCAGTGGCAAAAACAAGCACTTTTATGGACTTAAATTGACAGTGCACAAATGCTTTGAATGGTTGCACTGCAGCCTGTTTGTTGCTCTCATTAGTCAGTTGGGCACAAAATACATGAGGAAAAGGGTCCAGGTTGAAAAATATGGAAGTTGCCCGTTGAGTTTTAGTGCTACAAGGCCTTATGAACTACCCTGAGACCAAGAACTTAGAATCTTTAAAGGTAGTATGGACACGTCCTTCCTTATTCAGCCAGTTGAGGTACTTCTAGCCTCAGGATGTTTTGTGAAAACAGCCCCCAGGTTTGTACTCAAAAAAGTCAGTTTAATGAGGCACTGAGATGAGCAGATTCAAATTACATTCACTGAAGGTCCTTTCGAATATTTTTTGTTTCAGTAGTTTACCCATGGGCAACTTTCTTTTCTATTTCTACTTTCTAAGTTTCTTAAGTTACCCGTGCGAGTGTAAGATGAGATAGAAGACATCAGACAGCATTTTTCTCTGCATACTTCAGCTCCACAACCTGTTACTTTGCTTTTGCACAATTCCAAGTTAACCAAAATAAATGAGACTGCAGAGAACATTTTTCTTCTTCTACATCCTCTCCCGAGCTGTGTCTCTTTTCTCAGCAACGGGACAAGTTAACCAAAAAAAACGAGTCTCCAATGACTCGCCGGCAATGCCTCAGAAAGTGGGAAGTACAGGTGATCAAGGGGAAGCACTACAGAGGCCCGAAGGCTCCCGGTGCTTCATCGCTCATGCAGGTCAGCACCATGGGGGAAGAGCCGCAGGTGGCTGGCAGTGATGGATACCGGGACCGCTGCATAATCTTTCACCCTTTCAAAAATTATTTGAGAGGCAAGCTGTCAAAGGGCCACTGCAGAGCCGACCCTCGCCGCCTGCTGCAGAACTTTAATGTCAGCTCATGACTGCGTCTGGGGACGACCGTGCAAAATTGAAATCTCAGTCCTGGTGGTAGCAGACTGACAGAGTGGTTATTGTGCAGCATATCAGGAGGAAAGTGAAAAGTAGAGATTTGCCTCTCTCTCTGTGGGGAATATTGGCCTCCATCAAAATGTTGGGAGAAAACAGCTGACATCAATATCTGTGAAGTAAGTTGTTAGCGAACTGCAAAATTTCAACATCATCTACCACTGCCCTGAAAGAAGAAAACAAATACGCTTTCTGTATTTCAGCAGCTCATTCCTCAGTGTGACGGTTCAGAGTAAACAATCATTCATGTGGGAAATGTGATTGAAGAGGATATGGAAATGTGATTCAATGAGTGCAGGGTGACATTTATATTCTCTTGGCCTTTTGCTCCGAGGCATATTTATGAAGGAGTTAACTCAATTGTGAGAGCGAGGCAATCAGGACGGCCATTTTTCATTCCACAATAAGATTAGTACAACATGACAATGATTACACAGGGTGCTCATAATTTGCAGCAACAGGGCGCTGACTCAATGAAACCATTATCAGACACTGAGGACATTGTTGATGTATGATTTAACATTTTTCTGACAACTTATTCAGTTTTGTTGATCTCAAATAAATCAGACACCTCAAGGTCTCAGGTGCTGTATACAGCCTGAGTTGTGTTGATTCCTTTCTCTCGAGTTTTTGGTATTAAATGAGGCTGGAATGAAGGACCTATTTTTTGAATAAATGGATTTAAAGACGTTGGACTTAAATGTATAGCAACTCCTGGATGGTTTGTTATTTTGTGCAAACATTCATGGTACCCAGAGGATAAATCCTCATGGCTTTGGTGATACCCTGACATCCCTCTTTATAGGGGAGACCAGGAAAACTTGTGACATGGGATGGTTGTGACACCTCGAATTCCTCTAATCAGAAACAAGCTGGAGTGATGACACTCCCTCTGCGTTATAATTTCCCCTTCCCCCTTTTTCTGCTCATGTAGCCTGGTGCAAAGAAGGTCATAATTATGTTTTAAGAAAAAACAATCAGTCACATTAACGTGAATGATGAATTATCTTTTAAGTATTTGATTTATTTATCATGTGTATTGTAGACATTTTACAACCATCCCTGGCATGGTCGGGTCTAACAGTGGAGTGCAAACTTTACATATTTCATGCAACCAATTAAAATTATACTATGCAGGATTTTCCACTTAAACAGTCTATAGATTTATACAGAAGTAATCCCTCTTAATCATTACTTATAGCCCACTAGAAGTGTGTGGTGGTGTATTTTTCTGGGGAGATTCAGCCCTGTATTATCTCCTTATTTTCTGTGCCTAAGATGTTTGTGGGCGTGTACTCCCATAGTGTTCAAGTGAGGTTGAGGCTTTGTAAAAAGGTAACAACCAGGTGCCTGACTTTAGTGTTGTGTTCACACCAAATGCAATGCAAATTTCCGCATCACATTCCTCACGCGAGTTTGAATGCAAGAATATTTTGTGTTGACTCGCCTTATATGTGCAAATAACTCGCGTCATACATGCATGGTATCACTGAATCGATGAATGAACTTACGCTGTTTCGTCCTTGGCGTCATATGTCTCTGGAGGATCTCAGTGCTGATTGGCTATCTCAGTGTGAATTGGTCGCTGAAATTCGGATTTTTTAACTCTCACATATGATGGAAAATTGTTTTACTTGCTTTATTCATGCTGTTTAATTTGCATATGTCATGTCATTCTCGTTGCATCCATGGCATCGCCTGGCAGCGTCTTAATGTCTTAACATTGACTTTACAGGTAAATCACTTGCGCAAATTGTTTTATTTGTGCCCGCTCTGAACACAACATAAGCAGCACACATCCAAGAGGCACAGTGTCCACCCCTCGCTCCTCCAAATATGGTCACATCTTACTCCAAAAAACAAAGAAAGATAGCGAAAACCCAAAACGCCAATGCTAAACCTTATACAGCTTAACATTAGCTTGTTAAGATGTCATTGTTAGCATGTTAGCATACTCTGTATAGCCCAGAGCTAATGTGGGTGGCACAATGAAAAGTTCTTAACTTTTCATTTATCAGTTATTCAGTTAAAATATTACAAAACAGGACGTTCATTTTCACATTAAGTTTAACATTCATAGAATACACTACTCTTACTTCACACCCAAGGGTCATCCAAGGGTCAGCTGAGTTGTTGGATTTGAAGCTCAAGCTGAGGACTGATCAGCACAAAGTATGCATATAAACGTCACTTTATCTTGACAAAAACCTAAAGCATAATTGTCTCGAGTACTAGATTTCAGATTAAACTGTGAAATGTATTTCCCTGGGATTTAAAATGCATGAGATTTCATTGTCTGCCAGAGCCTAATTGATTTTTTCCACTCCATCACAAACAGCATTTATCAGCAATGGCAATCTTGAAAACACACAAAAAAGCTCACATACAGTTAGACTGAAATGTATCTGCAGGGAGGAAATATTTTTGCAGGAGGTCTGTCAAGGTTTGACTGTGGGCAGGGGAGTGAAAAGCATATTATAATGTTGAATGAAAAGCAGGCTGTATGTTTTTAAAAAAAAATCATTTAAGACGTATTTCTGTTTGATTCCAGGTCTGAAACGGAGCTACACCTGTGAAGTCTGCAGCGTCACACTGAACTCTGTGGCACAGTACCATGCACATCTGCAGGGCTCAAAGCACCAAAACAAGTGAGTGGAACAGAGCTCATTTACACTTTTAACTATTATGATGCAGTGCTAAATGTTAAATGCCACACCTCATTCTTGGCCCAAAATATGTTGTTATCTTTGCTTTGATCTGCATCATTGAAATCCCCTGCTTCTTAAGGAGGCCTTTGCACTTCAGATACAGTGCATTACACATTGCATGCATAAATGATGACAGTATTGTGGAGGCTGCTTTGCTGAGACAGAAATTTCAGATGGGCCCATTTTGCTGAGGGCATCCTGTGATTTCTCCTCCCCTGTTTAAGTTCAGTCTACAATCTTAAGAAAAGTTCTATAACTGAGCCTTTTCCTGCTTTTACACTGTATGTAGCTGGTGGTCGCAGCGCCTGCAGGAGCCAATCTCAAGCTGAGAATCAACAAGCTCTAATAGTAAAGTCACAACAAACAGGCAGTCTGCTGAAACTCTCCAGCAGACTTCTGTATAGCGACCAGCGATAAAACAAGAGCTCATTTAAAAACATCTGCACACAGCTAATTCCCTGCTGGTCACAACAGGTATCTTAAATTAATACTGGGACGAAGCTTTTAAAAATTCATGCGCCATTAAGCAAATCTACAAATGTTCCCAAACAAATGACACTGCATCTAAAATGAACACAGGTTTCTATGTTGTATCTGGGTACTTTCTGTTCAGCCCTCAGGGCTGGCAACCAGGTATCAGGTTCTGGTTGCTGAAACTGAAAATATGGTTGCCATCTTTGGTCATCTTGTAGCTTGAGAAATTAAAATACTTCGCAGTTATACATCAGGTTAAAGATGACAATTGTTGACAATTGAAACAGTGTTTAAAAGCTTTATAACAGTAGCTAAATATGTTTTATTTGACACTGTTCATGTGTTGTACATACACTGCAGAATAATTTTCTGTCCAGATCAAAGGTGCCAGGATACTTTGGCCTCCAAAGATTTCACTTTTTTTGTATTTCATTCAGGATTACCTCTCTAAAACAGATTACAGTTTGAACCTGACACACATGCAGCATTGTCTGGGTCTGTGATATTTAATTCACCAATGCAACAAGTATTTATTTATTAATTTATATTTTTTAAGAACACTATTTGCTGTTTGCCTCCCTATTTATTATATGGCAATAATGTATCATCACACAGTGCCAACTATCACTTTTGAGGCAGCCTACTTGAATAATATCATCGATTGCTTTTTCAGTCCACCAGATACATTTTGCTGCTACAAACAAATGGCTTTTATTTAAGTTTTGTTATATATATAAAATCGCAATACTCTGTGTATCGCAACATATTTAACATCGCAAAAATATTTTTTCGTGATGTAATTATCATGATCCTCTGGGGATTCCCACACCTACAGTATTTCAAAAGTGGTTGCCATTGATGTGCAACAAAAGGCCAAGAATTGGTTGTCAGTTTCTTAAAATGGTAGACACTGGCAACCTGGCAGCCATTACAGTCGAGCTCTGTATTTGGTCTGTCAGTCAGCCTAATATTTTGTGTGCACATGTATGACTGTATGCTCGAGGACCTCTGACACATTTTGACCTTTGCTGTGGCTCACTAACTGACATCCATAGAAAAGTTTAGTCTCATTTTGAATTGTAGCATCAACAGATTAATCCCATACCTGATATGTAATGATCCAGTAAGGTTAGGTATGACACAAGATGACAAGATCTCCTTTATTTATTTTCTTTTTTATTCAATCTTTGCTGCTATCTTGATTGTATAGGAGCCGGAAGGGAAAATTCCACCACACACAGCTGCAACCAGGTTCTGTCTGCCGCTTGGCACCAGAAGCGGCAGATAGACATGCCCAGTTTTCTAGACTTGCAGATTTTGCTGATTTGGTTATTTTTCCATGATAGCTGTGGTTCTACCATAACTATGTGTAAGTATGGCTATGTAGTTAAATTATTTCTTTTTTAATCTGTTTTAGTTGTGTTCATTGTTATTTCCTACAACTATTTTGCTGGGCACAGACAAAGTTAATACATATATCCTCATAATTACGTTGTATCTATATTTCACAAACAGGAAAACACAATCTGCTCTGTGCAACATATTGTGGCTCCGTCAAAAATAGACAAGGGGTGTATTTTTATTAGCTTCTGAAACGTGCTACGGCACCTCTGCAAAAATAACAGGAATGTCTTGAGTGTCAGCAATCACCTCAGGTTACAGCCTGGTGGAAATCTGTACTCTACTGAATTCACTTTTCTGGTTTATTCTAATTGTTGTAAAAGGCATTCATGCTACTTAAATCAAAACAGCTACCAGCAATTAATATGATTTAAGGTGATTTAGGGGGGAAAGATGTCTCTCGAACTTGTAACATAAAGTGTTTTGCCTTGAATGTGTATCTGCTACAGTTCTGTGCATGTTTTTCAATTCTTTTATCTTCTTGGAGACTTCCTTGTACCAATTACTTGACCTAAAGCAGTTTTATCAGAACAAGAGGACTGCATACTGTGAGGGAGGTGTGAATTGATGGGGCTTACACGGTGCGTGTCCTGGAATTAATTCCCCCTGTTGGCCAGTTTCTGGCTGCACACATCCACAGAGATGCTGGCATCAGGAGACGTGACATGCTGTTTAACAGCCCCGTGCTTTATTCACAGATGCCTGTGCCGCCTTGTTGGAGCCAGTGGGTTTCCATGCAGATCCTATCATACTGTCGCACACACATAGCCACCCCTCACGCTGAGCAGGGCAGAGCTCTCACAGGAGATTCAGACCACACGCGACCCTCAAGCCCCCTGCCTCCACCCAGACCAGCCTGATTGCATCAACATAGCCCACAATGGTGCCTTGGGTCTATTTAGGTCATTTGTTTAACGCCAGTTTACACGGACAGAATAAAGGCTTATCTGCTTTACAGACTCCAGAGAAGGACTGAGAATATTTTATGTGTCTGGTGCTCTTCGTCACTACAGTACTAAAGAAACAGAATTACACACAGCCATTTACAGTGTATCTAAGCCTAAATGAAATGAGTGGAAGTTGGGAAAGTTAATTAAACAGGATTCCTTCATGGTTATGTTTTGAACAAAGCTAGAGGTCAGCTAATAGTGGATTTTGAAAGGCTCATATTTGGAACAGGAAAAAGCTGAATAGCCCATTAATCTGCCGATATCACGTGTGTTGTTTTTTTTCTTCTGGTGTGTCATATTCAACTTAACAGATAGGTTGGAAAACAGGTTTGTAAACAGTAGAAAGAAGCATGGATATACTGTGGTTACTTCANATATCTTACTTATTCAGTCTCTCTTTCAAACTTGCCGGCCACACATTTGGAAAGATGTTTGTGCAGTGGGAAAGGGGCTTATGACATTACGTCTACTTAATGTATGGAGCCTCCATGTCAAATAGTAATTTCACTTATATTCCAAATATGGGAAATACTTACTTAAAACTTAATATATACTTAATATTTGACTGGAGCATGTATGAAATGCTTGAGGGCTTTAATTTGAAAACAAGAGCTTTTAATTTGAAACAGGAAAGGGCAGCATTTACTCAGTCATGAATTTGCGCCCTATTACTCGACATTATATTGCTGGAGCCAAGTCCCACCAGTAACCATAGACTGTAAAATGTCTTATTAGTGCTGATTAACTGTCCAAACTGGTGACTCTGTCTACCTCTAAATGTTGCATAGTGTTTAACATAAAGTCAAGCCTAGAAAATGATCACACTTTAAATTAGAGTGGCAGTTTTGGTCTGAACGGTCCCAAAATCACATTATCCTCACATCCTTTGGTCTTAGTCAATCGATATTTTTAGTTATTGATATTTTTTCCATTTGTGGTCAATGCTTGCACAACTAACCAGGTCAGCTAAGGTTAGGGTGTGTGTGTGTGTGTGTGTGTGTGTGTGTGTGTGTGTGTGGGTCTGATTATGTCACATCGATAGGAAAAGGCTCACATTGATGTTCTACAAAACTGGAAACAAAGCTCACAAACTGCATGCCTATATGGCTGTTCTTTGCTAAGATGAACCAAGGGCGGCAAAGCAATGTGGAAATTCAATTTTGACTCAGCAGGGGAACAAATTACCGATTCATGACAGGTGTACTAATGAGAACTGTGATCGATACTCCTTTAACAAGCCAGCTACATGAGTACAACAACCCTGATGTTTAAATCCCCTGATTTGCTGCTGGCATTCAAAGCAGGAAACTCTAACCTAATTGACTCTGCCTTAAGATTTACTGGTGTGATTTGGCTTTATGGCATATTCCTCTGATCTCTGTTTTTTCCCCTTCTCACAGTTGTGTTCTGCTCTCGCCTCCTCAGTTTCCAAACCTGAAGTAGAGAGAGCCTAAAGTAGCTCTTCTCTTTTTTGACTCTGTTGGAGCGTCACAGTCAGCCCGTCTTGCGAAGACAAAAATAGCCAAGCGGTTTTTTGTGGTCCTTCACCAAAAAAGAGAGGAGGAGCTCTGCATTGAGCGCTGCAGAGATGTCAGGAGATGTTAGCCTGGTGTGACTGGTCAGTGTTTACTAAGGGGAAAGGAGAAAGAACCCATTTGACCTCAGTATGAGGGGAACTGCTAGAGCTCTTTCTAGTGGCCTCTCTTTCCCTCCATTGACCACGGAGTAAATACCAAAAAGCAATTGCTTCCTAGTCAATCTGAGGATCTATGCTGTTCTTTTTAAGTGTTAACCTTTGCAGGGATTTGACCTTAAAGCATTTAGGCAGGATTAGTCTTCAGTCATTTTAATAACAAGTTCAGCATGATAAGGTAAATGTTATTGCTTATGGGTTTTCATTATGTTGGAAAAAAATTCAAAACTCAAATTAGTTCCTGGTTATATATAGAGGGGCCTGTCACAATACCAAAAATTTAGTAGTCGATACCAAACATACACTCCTTTGTCAAAAGGACTAGTACTAGATTGAGTGGGTTCATGAGATTTTGTGGGTGAGGAAACTTGAATTAATTGCAGTTCCTCTAATGGCCACTTGAGGGTGGCTCCCAAAGGGAGTCAATCCCCACCAGAGTCCTGCACGGATCCAGTTTTCAAGATCCACCCTGACCCGACCCGGCGACGTACAAACCCGCATCCGAACCGCAAACCCGCGCATCAGGCCAATTAGTACCGCAACCCGGTCCAACCCGTTGAAACACGACCCGCAGCCCGGCCCATAACCCAGATTTAAAGTAATCATTTTGGGTCATATTCACTGAATATTGAACAACATATCGCCACAGTTAAGGTGCCAGTAAGTGAACAACGACCTGAATGAAGCAGCAATTATTTGTCAATTAGGAAAGCTGTCATGGCCTTTGCCCTGTAGACTGACGTTGTTTGTTTTGTCAGCTGACAGTTACGTGGTGGTTGACAAATTACACTGCATTTAATCAGCTTTTCTGGCCTTCCTGTTACGTGTTAAGCAGTGCACATTGACTCTGAGCAGACCCAGTAATGATTACAGCACTAAAAAACACTCAAAGTTGAACATTTTTCAATTCTCCTGGTGTCCAGAATAAAATGGCCAATGTGCAGCGCCCAGCGCCTCATCACGCTGCTGACATTTGTTGTGTGAATACTCAGTTCTCCCAAGTCAAGGCACAGCTGTTGTTAAAGTTACCCTTTGCCATCTTCTAAATATTTAACGACAGTCTAATAGACTTGTAGATATATGCTGTCCTCTTAGGTCTTGAAGAATTGCATCTCCAGTACCTACGGTACTGAACGAAAATGAGTAGAAAAATGTCACATTTTTGGAATTTTGGCATCAACTTGTTTTGGAAGTATCGGTTCACATGACATCGGGAGTCCTAAACACAGAAAATAATTTTCCTCACCATATGGTAAACTAACAAGGATCAGGTACTTTGTTTTCACCTGACAAATATTGATTTGGTTTTTGGACATTTGCAAGCTGTTACTGAGGTCATCAGACTGCAAATGCAACACTAAAAGAGGTTCCTTAAACTTTGGTATTAAAACTCTCTTCCTCCTTTATGTAAATCAATTTTAAGGTTTCACTTTAATTTTAATCCATTTTAATATCCTGTTTGCATTTTTTTCTTGTGTAAGCAAATCAGAGGGTTTAAACATCAGTGCGTTCGGACTCTGCTGCTGCTATCGATGGGTCAACTCAAACTGACAGTGTAATTATTGTGCCATCACCTTTTCCCAGGATAGCCATCCATCAAGCACCACCACATGTGTGTGTATTCATCCTACATGCATGAGCACAGGCACACGTGCATACAGATATGCTTTAGATCCAACCATTCTCATGTGCTGCAGAAAGTGATTAGCCACAGTGATTAGCTTCACTGCTGATGCAGATCATTAGACACAGTGGTTGAAAGGTTAATTTCCAAAGCCCAGTACAACTACTGTATCTTGGTTATAGTCAGTACCTGAAGATAACCATTTAGTATTCTTACCCTTCCAAATCTGATATCCACTCCTCTGAGACTACTGTTGTGGAAAGGCAATGTGACAGTAAATGGGTTGTTTTTCTCACTGTTGAGTTGTTTTCATGACCTTTGAGCACTAGAGCACTGTTGAAAACTTAACTGTATACTGTCGGATACACATCAGTGAAGATAAATCCATCATTTCTGAAAAATATACTTTTTGCTATAAGTTGGAGGCATCGACCCTGCCAGCAGAAAGCCTGAAAAATCCCCTACGTAAAAGTTTTTTTTTTTTTTTTTTTTTTTGTTTTTTTTTTACCATCCAGATTTTAGATTTGTAGTTGCTGTGGCATATAGTGTCAGTGAACCAGTCATTTGGGAAAAAAAATAGTCAGGAAATGGTAAGTCATGGATAATTCATCTCCAGATGTTTTGCGTCTGTCTGATGACAATTAGCCACTCTGACTGATGTACACACTATAAACTGGTGCTGTATCTCATCAATTCATGCAAATGCTTTGCTTTAAATCAAGATAAAAATATCTCAATTGCTTTATTTGGTTGTTATATCCCAGCTCTTGTAATATCATATGCAAAAAAAAAGTCAGTAATCATGATTTCATCTCTGAGGGGCTGGGCTTAGAATGCTTGGTTTGGTTTGAACTAACCTTGGTGTGTTTGCCCAGTTACTACAATTGGTTTGGCCTGCTGTGACAGCTGTCAATCAACCCCTGGCGCGGACCAAACAAACGTACTAAGACCCTTCTCCTCAAGCAGACCCTTAAGTGGTATGAAAGCAAACAGACCAACCACAGGATACTGATAGCAGATACACTATGTGATTTTAGCATGATCACATAAGACAAACTACTATTAAATCCATCTGTGATCATGAACTGAGATCTTATAATCAGTATATATAAGCTATGTATATATTGATGTAAATTATTTGGTAACCAAGGTAACACATGTTGTCAACCTGTTGAACCTGTCTGTGTTCACTGCTCTTGGTTCATTATCAAAAACTGCAGCACAACTAAAAGGCAATAATGTAACATTTTTTCCTCCTTGATCTGGACCAAAAACCAACTACATGTGTGAAAGCACCCTCAAAGCTCATTTATACTCCTTTTACGTACAAAAATAGATATGTCCATTTTAAATGTTGTAATTGTCACTGCCTTTATACTTCCAAGCGTCCTTTATGATGGTAATATAACAGCCAAGAAATGGCACTATATACTGTACCTTTAAATGAAGGCAGCGCTGTAGATGGTGGTGGTCTGCAGCCATTATATACATCTGGACAGGTGGATGGTGAATTCTTCTAACTATATATTATTATATATTACCGATTCA